GGGGTCTGTCCCAAGGGCAATGGGAGTCTCTGTGCTGGGGGTTAATGGGGTACTCTGGGTCTGCCCCGGGGGCAGTGGGGAGTCAGGGGTCTGTTCCGAGGAGAATAGGGAGTCAAGGATCTGTCCTGAGGGGAATGGGAGGTCAGGGGACTGTCCTGGAGTCCCCCAGGACAGGTAGGCACAGCTCGGTGAGCGCCTGGGGCTGCTGCAGTCTCAATGAAATCTGCACATGGAAAAGGAAAATCCCTGAGCCAAGGGGATGCATGAGTAAGGATTTGGGGTGTAGGGTTTGAGCACCTGCTCCAGCTGTTGGGTCTAAGGAGGGCTCAGTGGAAGGTGCCACCCTGCAGCAGCTCCTTCTGGGGGGCAGCTGGTGCCAAACGGGCAGATTGGCAGGGATGGGATATAAATGGAGCAATAGTGCAAGCTAAGGTTGTTTTTCATCCAGACTCTTAAGGCGTCAGCAAAAAATGCAGTTACTGCATTTGGAAACAGAAGCATTGGGCTGATTACTGAGAAGGAACATGGCACTGAATTATTCATCGCATACCATGGGGCTGGTTCCTCCTTAGTCTGATTGTGTGCTCTAATAATGAGCATCAGGGCTCATTTCATGCAATAACACATGGTTTGGTTTGGAATAAAGTTCATCACTGGGTCAGGGTTACCTTCCACCAACTCCAGCCCCATCCAGCCTAGCCTGGAACACTTCCAGTGTTCTTATTCTAGTCTTCCATGCACATGTTTTGCTTTGAGAGCGAAGAGTTGAATAATCATTACTGTAATGAGATGGAGAAGGACTTTCCACAAGTATATAGAGTGACAGTACACAGGGAATGATTTCCCACTGCAAGAGGACAGGGTTAAATGGGATATTGGGAAGGAATTCTTCCCTGTGAGGTGCTGAGGCACTGGCACAGGTTGCCCAGAGCAGCTGTGGCTGCTCCATCCCTGGGAGTGTTCCAGGCCAGGTTGGACGGGGCTTGGAGCAACCTGGGCTGGTGGGAGGTGTCCCTGCCCAGGGCAGGGGTTTAGCTGGTTGACCTTGAAGGTCTTTTCCAACCCAAACCAGCCTGGGATTGTGTGAGTTCCAGCTGAGTAGGTGCTGAGATGCTTTGCTGATTCAATGGGAGGTTTAAAAGGCTGATGAAGCTTACCAGCATCACATTCTTAAAGGCAACAGGAGGACATGTTGATAAATGTTGTGTGGGAAAAAGAAACTGAAATTGTTTGAAACTTACTGAGTGACTTCATTTCCTTTCTGGATCTGTTCAGCTGAGTTGTGTAGGGACATTGCAGAACTCTCTCAGTGCTGAAATGAAAATCTCTTCAGGAAAAAATACAACATTTCAAAGTAATTTTCAACAGCCTCCTCAGTAATTCTCTCATTCCCTTTGTCCACACAACAGGATTCAGGTTTCTCTTTGCTGGATTTGGAAATGGTTTTGGTCCCAAGATGAGTTGATAGCACTGAGAATTTTTCCTCTGCTTCTTTTGGAAATATTTGGCTTTGGGTTTTGTTTCTGTTATGAAATCAGGAAAGCAAACAGAGCTGTACTCATGGAGTAGAAAAAAATCCCCCAAACCACAGATTAGTTTTATTGTCATGATCTTGGGTTTGGGTGGTTGTAGAACTTTCTAAATAGACTTTCAGAAATATCTTGGTTGAATGCAGGAACACCTTGTTTATAATCACTTAGGTGCTTCATTTTGCTAAGTCTGTATTTTTTCCTTTCTTAAGTATTTTGAATTGCTCAATATTTTTGAATTTCTTAGACATTTTAAGAGTTTTTTCAAGGTTCAATTGAAGTGCTCAGAGGGAGGTCAGTTGCAAAGTTGAGGTTGTTGTGTGAATGAATTAAAAACCCAAACAAACCAAACCCAAACCCAAAACTCTTAGTGCAAATGGATTAAAAGTATGTTCTTAGTGAAGAAAAAATCTGGTGTATTGCAGTTGTGTATTGGGAAGGAAAGAACAGGCTCTGGTGGGATGAAGATTGAACAACCACACGATTATTTCTCCTCTGCTTGTTACTCTCTGCCAGCCTCAGTGATTCTGTGCTTCTCTTTGGTTTTGCTGTTTGAGATTCTGTTTACAGCTGGTGTTGGTTTGTTTTCCAGGTCCCTCGTGGTTGTCCATTTCTGGGCACCATGGGCTCCCCAGTGCGCCCAGATGAACGAGGTCATGGCAGCACTGGCCAAGGAGCACACACAGGTGACCTTTGTGAAGGTAAGGCAGGAGAGGAGATGGTCTTAACCAGACAAGAGCCACTATTAATAAGTAGAGTGTAATAAAATATGGGTGAGGTTGTTTCTGAAGTTCCTTTATGCCTTCACCTTTCAAGATGTGAATTGAACACATCTTCACCTTCTTCAGTCTCTTGTCCCAGAGGTGCTGCTACTGTTGTGGGTGGACTCGGCCCTGTCAGGCATGGAAGGGTTTTGGGTTGGAAGGACCTTCAGGAGCATCTAATGTCACCCCTTGCCATGGGCAGGGACACCTTCCCCTAGCCCAGGTTGCTCCAAGAATATTCCCACACAAGCCATGGTGTTATTGCTTAGCTAAAGACACCTCAGAAAACCTCTGTGGATTCTGTCTGTTCAGCTAAGGAGATCTCAGAATCCACAGAGGCATTCTGTCTGATGCTGGAGATGAACAGGAACCTTCAGGAGGGTGAAAGGAAGGTGAATTCAGTCTGTGCCACGTTGGCACTCTCAGGTGAGAGTTGTGCAGTGCTGGGATGGCATCAACACACCTGAGAGTTCTGGTTCTGTGGGAGGCTCTGCACATCCTACTGGGAAAACCACTGTGGGAGGAAAAGTGGGAGCACTTAGCAGGTGCTGGTGGGTTCAAGCCAAGGTTCTGTGCTCATCAGACATGTGTGGTACTGAGGGCAGGGAACAGTGGGGCAGTTCAATTTCTCACAGCCTTTGGGTTCTGTGTGTGTTTTGTAATGATTCCTCTCAACCGTTTTTTCTCCCTGTAGAACACGACAGAATTATGTTAATTACAGTATTTGCTTCCTTGGAGCTTCAAATTTATCCAGAGTTTAGGCGCTTTTAGTCAGCCCAGGAAAGTTGGAAGCATCTCAGTTGCCTTTTTATTATTCATATTTTGTTTATAACCTTATTATTCAGCTGAATTTATTTTTTATTAACAAGGTTCCTGAGTGGTGAAGTGTTGGCAGACTGAGAAGGTGGCACATCCTTCCCCTCACTCTCCTTCTCCCAGTGCTACTGGTGCTCCTGTGTAGAGAAAACAACCTACTGAAAGACTTGGGTGGATTTTCTTGATTCCTTCTCATGAGGAATATATTGGATTTTGTGGGATTTTCTGTTCCAGAAGAGCCATCCTGCCTTTTAATTGACAACAACCTGTTAATTGATGAGATATTTACTTTTGAAAATAGTGTATTTATATCCCAAAACACTTAGAAACAACATTCTGGAAAATTGCTAAATACAAGTTTGTGAAACATGAACTCAAACCTGTTCTGTGTGAGCTCCACCAGACTGGAACAGGAGCAGCCAAGCAGGAAGCTTGACTGGGAAAGGAAATGGATATTATAGGTAGAAATCATCATTTGCCACTGGAAGGAGAGGAGATAATTGGAATTAGCTCTTCTCTTTCAATTATGTATGAGGTTTCAGTTCAATTTGGATGGAATATAAGCTTTCAATTCCATTTCCATTGAGTATGAGCTTTCAGTTTGTAGCTTGAGGTTCTCAGTTGTTTCTGTTTGGAGCATTGATTTGCAGAAGTGAGTTTACCCCTGTAAATTCCATAATTACCTCTGCAAACTACAGAGGTCAATTCACTTCTGAGGTCAAAGGTAGAGGTGAAACTTTGAGTGTTGGCTCTGCTATGTTGGTTCTGTAATTAGTGGGTTCATTAAGAGCCTGTAGAGCTGGAGCTGCTCCAAACTGGAGTTAAAGAAGCTGTATTTTCCTAGGGAAGGAAAATGATCAGGTTTGCAAGGATCAGGTTTGCTATGCTGTTCCAAGCCATGATTTCCAGGTGTGCATTGGATGCTGCCTCAGACCAGAAGCAATAACCTCCAGCTTGGCACTCAGCAGCCTTGCAGGAGTTAAAACTGGGGTTTAGCAGCCATCAGTAGCTTATGGAAGAAACTCCTTTTGCCTTGTGATGTGCAGAAAGGCTGGAAATGTCAGTGGTGATGTACTGCCCCCGACAGGAGTCAATAGAGCACACGGCGAGTGCTGCCAGCACGGAGCTCTGTGATCGTCGCAGGACTGGGGGCAGTGATTTATGGCTTTCAATATAGCAGGAGCTGCACAGGATTGAAAATTTACTAGGTCACTAGTGCACCAAGGATTGTGTTGGCAGCCTCCAGGCTCCTCAGAAATGTGCAGCACAGTCAAAGCCTCTGAGGCTGTTTGGTGCCAGAGGCTCTGGGGGGACACCGTAGCCCAGGGAGGCTCATTTCAATGCCAACAGCTCCCAGACTTGGGCATCAGCTCCTGTTGAAACTTACAAAGTGGGACTGACACCCCCAGCCAAACTGTAAAGAAGCTTATGAAAATAATCTGTGTCTTGGTTTGGTCTCGTTTTGTAGTTGGAAGCTGAAGCAGTGCCTGAAGTATCTGAAAAATATGGAATTACTTCTGTTCCAACGTTCTTGTTCTTTAAGGTAAGAGAAAATGGATTTATGAGGTAATGAATTTAAGAGGAAATGGATTTAAGAGCAAATGGATTCCATGTGGACTCTTAATACATGCACTTCTGTCACGCTGCTGCCACAGCCTTAAGAACCTCCTTGGTGAGGAAACACTTCTGTGTCTGATTGAAGTTTAGCCAGTGGAACCTCAAAAAGTAGATAGAAATGGGGTTTGCACTTTCTCTGTAATGTTTAGAGCTTCCTTAATTGCTTTGGGATTCAGGCATGGGTTTTATTTGAGTTGTTATGCCTTGTAGTGGGTCAAAGAGTTTACTGTGATGTTGTTTTGTCTTGTATTTCAACATGGTGAAACTCCAAGAAAGTGATAATAAATCAAGTGATAATAGAAGTAACCAATTTTTGTGGTCCCATTTTTCTGTGATAATAAAACCCATAGTGTTTTCTTTTGTTAGTATTCCTAATAGCAAATTTGCTGCTGTTAACAGCAGATGACAAACAGGGATGAGCTTGGGAACCACAGATCAATCCCTAATTCCCCTTCACCTGTGGATCCATACACTGTGGTGACTTTACAGCACAAATTCTGAATGGAATCCTGTAACATTTAACCCATTTGACATTTTAATCCTTTGTTAGTGTGGTCAGGCACTGAAACATTGCCCAGGGAGGTGGTGGAGTCACCATCCTTGGAGGTCTTTAAGAGGTGTTTGGATCTGCTGCTGGAGGATCTGGTATAGGGGTTCCAGCAGTGACAGGTTAATGGTTGCACTTGATGATCTTAGAGGTCTCCTCCAGCCCTGATGATTCTAACACGAGGCTGTGTGTCGGTGCTTTCAGAATGCCCAGAAGGTGGACAGGTTGGATGGTGCCCATGCCCCAGAGCTGACCAAGAAGGTGCAGCGCCACTCGTCTGGCGCTTCCCTCCCTCCCGGCCCCGGCGATGGCGCCAAGGAGGACCTGAATGCACGGCTGAAAAAGCTCATCAATGCTGCTCCTAACATGCTCTTCATGAAAGGCTCCCCCAAAGAACCTCGCTGTGGTAAGGATTTCCTGCAGTTCATGTCCTGTTTGGAAGCTCTTGCCTGGTTTACTCCGTTTTGGGGAGTTGTGTCCTGGCAGTGTTGTCTTCTCTTACAGTTATTAATGGAGGTATTGTCATGCTGCTTAGAGGCAGTTAGAGAATTGCTGTTCTCTCAGTTCCATTTTGGGAATGGAGTCCCAGATGAGGAGCTTTCTAAGGAATATGTGGTGGGCAGTGTTATCCTTGAACTGGGACACTTTTCCTCGTGTAGCTCAGTGTTTATTCATGGCTTGGAGCAACCAGGGAAGGTGCGTGCCCCTGCCTGGATGAGCTTGAAGGTCCCTTCCAACCCAGCCCGTTCCATGGTTCCATGTGTTTCTGCCTCAGTGGGAATGCTTTCTCTCAAACTTCATTCTCTTGACTCTTGCTCCCTGTTCAGTGCTCAGTTCCTTCCCAACCTGAAGTGTTGACCTCTATGAAAAGCTCATGAACAAATGTCAGAAGTTTAAAGTACTATGAAGCTGTAGTTCTTACCTAGTCATTGATATTCATAGTTAATCGACGCCATAAAATGAATAAGAGTATTTTCCTTAACTTAAGGTGTGTTTGGGTCAGGAGCAATGGCTGGTAGATAAAGGAGCTGAGAGGAGTGACCAGAGGTGAAGCTGCTGGGTGGGCTGGTTGAGTTGGGGTTGAGCTGGGTGTTTTGGACTGATAATAGTGTGTATCTTCCTGTGAAGTTCCATCTATTTACCTGCAGATGATTCTGCATTTGTAAGATGTAACAATATGGTCATGGATGAGTGGAAGTCACATATCATCATAGGAACTTAGAGATAATTTTGTAGGAATGGGAATTTTGGCTTATGAAGTCTTGCCTGTGTGGAATAGAGCTCCTGCTGTGATGAGCTCCTCAGATTTCTGAGGTGTCTAAACTCTGGGGTCATTCAGATATTTCTTGGTCCCTAGTGCCCCATGAGGGGTGCACAGGGGGTACTTGGCTAAACAGAGGTGTGTATTGAAACTGGAAGTAGTAAAATGGAGTGAACACATGAAATCACCTGAACTTATTGCTCCAGGCTGTGCAGGTAAATATTGTGCCTGCTCTAGGCTGCTGTGGTGATTCCTGGCAGGAGTTGGGAGGTGTTAGTTGGGCCCATTAAACTTCCTTGAACAGACAAAATCTATTTCAAGGTGAAGGTGAATAAACATTTTGGCAACATTTTTGTCTCTTACAAGGTGAAGATAATTTACCACTTTGTCAGAGATAATCTGGATGTGTCTTACTAGCAGTAGGAATAAAGACAAAGGTAAATAAAGGTTGTTTAAAGGTGAAGACAGTTTTGACTTGTATCTGTTTTGATATAAATAAGACTTGCTGGAGTCTTCAGTTTGATTGGCAAGTAGAGGAGACCTTATCCAGCAGGGATTTGGGGATTGTGGTAGGAAAAGGTTTGTCCCCTTGGCTGTGTGTTTGCTGGCACTGCTGTGTGGCTGCTACAGATGTTGTATTATTTCAGTGGATTTGTTTGGCAGGATTGGTATTTATTTGGTGCTATTTATTTGCTTCATCACTCACCTAATTTACTTAGGGTGTTTTCAGTGCTGTAGAATCTGTTCTCACCCAGGGAAGCACTTAAACCATTCTGTCAGCAGCTGAATAATTCCTTGTCAGGCACCTGTAGCACTCGAGAAGCTCAGCCTAAATCTCTTGTGGACGTGGAGCTGTTTGGGCGCTTTGTCCCTGAGCACAGCAACATTTTCAGGCTGCCACTGCTCCCCTTCCCCTGAACCCCAACCAATCCATCTTTCTGCTTTGCATGTATTGCCTACAGCTAAAATAAAGCTGGTTTTTTCCCCTCTCCAGTTCCTTACAGTAGAAATGAGTTAATATATTGGAATAACCATCAGCAATCAGCCTTTGGCTGTTTACTAATGAACTCCCAGATGTCTGAGGGATTTCAGGATCTGTGTTTCACTTCAGGCTGTACATGAACTTAACACTTCAGCCGTGGAAGGAAAAGCAACTTGGATGCCACAAGTACAAATATTGCTGCTTCACGACTCAATAAATTGCAGCTCATGAAAACTGCAGTGGAAAAAAAAAATCCATATTTCAAAAACTAATAGCTGAAATCAAAGGTTATTCTGCTCTGCCACTTCGATTCTTTCCCCCATTTAAACCTGGAGTGTTTTATTCCTTTATTAAAGCCTTGAAGCATTGTCTCTCCCTTTATTTAATGTTTGTATAGAGGTTTTCATTTGTCTGCACAGCATTTGCTGGAATTCTTTGAGGGAATTGGAAGGATTGCAAGGGCATTTGAATGCAAACCAGAACGAGCTGGCAAAGGTATAAACCCTTATTATCCCACTGATTTATGGGCAAACCTCACGGATCCTTTTTGCAAACGCTGGGATCGTGTTGCCTAGGAGGTGCAAAAAGATGATGTCAATTCCAGAATGCTGAAATGTTCCTACTTTTTTTACACATAATGTGATGATTTTCACAAGGGAAAAAAAAAGATGGTTAGCTGCAGAAGGGACAAACTTTTCTCCTCCGGTTTGCTGGATGTAAAATCCTAATTTTCAGTAGTTAATATCCTGCTGAGAGAGTTAGGGTAGGACACAGGAAAATTTGACATAAAGGGACGCAAAACATGGCATGAAAGTGCCATAAGAGTGGGAAAACGATGTTAAATGCCCATGAGAACGTAAAAAATTGAAGGTAAAACTTTGCCCTTTACCACTGAGTAGAAAAGGATGTTCTGAAAGCAGAAGGGTAGAAAACATTATCAAAGCTAAGTTTTCAAGTGAAACTAATGAGGAGAAATAAATAAACAAACAGTAATAAATGGATTTTGCCCCTTTGTAATTGAGGCTATTGACAAAGCAAAGAACACCTGGAGCTGATTTGACCTTGTTGCCTAGATAAATGTCATTTTTCACCGGGGAAGGTCAGCCCAGACATGCTTAGAGTCCCATTTAACACCTCTTCCTGTGCCTGCAGGTTTCAGCAGGCAGATGGTGGAGATCCTGAACAAACATGGCATTTCCTTTAGCAGCTTCGATATCTTTTCTGATGAAGAAGTTCGTCAGGGGCTGAAAACTTACTCCAACTGGCCAACTTACCCTCAGCTGTATGTGGATGGGGAGCTCATCGGGGGACTCGACATTGTCAAGGTTAGAAACGGAGACTTTCTCCATCCTTTGGGTTGCCATGACCGTGGTGTTGTTAGGGTTTACATGTGATTTCTTTCTTCCCAATCTCCCTAGGAGCTTGAGGCATCTGGAGAGCTGGACACCATCTGTCCCAAGACCCAGAAGCTGGAGGACAGGTGAGATGGTTTGCTGCTATTTTCAGGGTGTCCTGTGTGTTTGTTTCTATAGGGAAAACTTTCAGATCAATTCCTGCTCATTGACTTTATTTGCAGAACTCCTGCAGTTTGATATCATGGGTTTTATGCACTAATCATCACTTCATATACATCTGCACTGATCCAATAGTCTTATCTCTGTAGCTGAATTTTTTACTTAGAGCAGGAACATTCTTGTCTCTCTGAAGAGTTCATTCTTCAAAGAAAACGGAAAATCATCTTTTAAACATGAGTAGCTTTTCTCAGCTCTGTTTGTCACAGACTCCCTAACTCTGCTGTCACTGGAGAGAAATCCCTGTGCTTGTCTGCTCTTCCCTGGCTGCTCGTGTCCTTCAGTTCCTGTTTGCTTTCACCTTGGCAACATGAGTCTGTGCTGCAGCAGTGGGAAGGGTGTTGCTTCCTGGCTCAGGTGGAATGTCTAGATGGCAATTTGTGCTGCTTTCTCCTTCCCTTGTGAAGATCCACTCGTGTTTGAAGCTCTGCTGTGCCCCAGTGGTGGCACTGGGTGTCTGACAGGTCCTGCTGCTGCACAAATTGCTACTGGATGTGGCTTTGATTTCCCTAATTTTTATGGGAGTAGTGCCATTAAGGCATGCTGAGGGGGGTTGGTTTACCAAGGTGGACTGCCTGGAAGGGAAATGTGTGAGCATAGATTCTCTCTTGCTGCTGGGAGGCAGGTGAGACTCCTGGTTCTGCCTACTCAAAGCAGTGTGGAAATCACTGGATGCAGAGCATTTCTGGGTGGTGATAACTAATCCTTGCACAGCTGTGTGTTGTCCTCTGGCCTTGGTTACTTGGAAAGTGTTTCACTGAGGCCACAGAGCCCAATCATTGACTTTTGCAGAGATTAAATTAGAGGTAAAGATGAGATTGTCTCAGTGTGGCCCTAAAAACTTTTTCTACAAAGTCTTTTAGTGCATTCCTGTTTGCAAACTTGCAGAAGCAACAACTTGAGTGAGTTTATATGTAGTTTTTTTTATTATTTTGGGAGAGGAAGGCAATGGGAAATGTCCTCTGCTTCCCTGATGTGTTTTAATAGATCAGAGTTGTTGGTGTGGCTCAATTTCTCCCTAAGGAGCAGCAGCAGCATGACCTTTTGAACATGTGTGAAGCTTTGATCAGGTTTTTTAGCAGCCTGGGCTGGTGGGACGTGTCCCTGCTCATGGCAAGGGGTGGAATGGGATGAGCTTTAAGGTCCTTCTAACCCAAACCATTCCATGATTGAATCTATTTCATCCAGTGATGGAGAAGTGCCTGAAAATTCACCAGGCAAGTCACAAGGAGCTTCTCATTGCTTGGTTTGTTCCTCATCCTTTGGCAGGTGTTTCTTGGCTTAACACATCACATTTGGCTGAGGTGTCTTCTGGTGACTCTAGGAAGTTCTTCCATGACACAGAAGAGTTTTCATTCATAGCTAACCTCATACTTAACTCCTGAGCTACTAAAGACATCAGTTCAAAATATCCTAAAGTGATGATAAAATATCCCAAAGTGCTAATGAATTCAGTTTCTCCTTAAGCTTCTTTGCTGTTTGATACTCCAGGTCAATCTAGGGCAGGAAATTGTTGCTGTAGAAGTATCAGGATGGTTCAGATTGATTTACTAGTGTTACTGTAAGCAATTTCAATGGAGATTTACTGCTAGTGATGCTTTGAATTCATCTGGGAAAGCTGCAGGTTGCTGTCTTTGCACTTCTGCATGTTGTTTACCTCTCAGAACCAAGTTTGGGATAACAGCAACCTCTTTTCTGCCTTTTCCTGCTCTCCCTAGGCTTAAGGCCCTGATAAACAAAGCTCCTGTGATGCTGTTCATGAAGGGAAGCAAACAGGTGAGGTGTCTGCAGCACAGCCCGTGGCGGTTTGTGGGGTGAGAGAGGAGGAAGAGCTCTGAGGTGTGTTCTGTGTTCCAGATGGCGAAATGTGGCTTCAGCAGGCAAATCCTGGAGATCCTGAACGACACTGGGTGAGCAGCTCTTCAGCTCTGGGGGTTCCAGGGTCTTGTGGAGGACTTTGAAGGTGGCTTTGTTTCA